GCTGCTTTAGCTGCTGGCGGCTTAACCGGATGGCGACAAGCTTCGCTACTCCCGAACATCTCAAATTCCTCCCAGAGCCAACTTTTGGTAGGTATTACCTCTACCTTAGGCTTTCAGCTGTGTTCGTCCAGTGAGGTACGTAAACAGGACTGTCTCAGCCAATCGCGCCGTTTCAACAGCCGTAGCCTCTGCTTGTTTTCAATCTGAAATCCGGGTGTGAGGGGTGGTGTCATACTCATCGCATTGATGGTTTCGCTCGCTTGCTTGCTTCTCCTCTGGCAGCTGAGTTTGATCTTCCCAGCTTCATGTCGGATTACTCTGCGAATCACGGATCCTCGTCCGAGGACAAGTGTCAAAGGTAAGGCGAGAAAGCCCACTCGAAAAGCTCGGGTTCGTTCGTTCGTTCGTCCATGTAATGCGGCCTCCGTCTCCTCTCCACATCGAGAGCTGCCGATATCCCGAGCGACCCCGCCAAAACTTCCAAGCTGAACGGGCTTTTTACGTCAGGCCATGTTTGGGCAAGGTGCACTCTTCGTCAGCCCGCAACGGAACTCGACGTCAGTGAGTATCAAGTAAAGCTCCAATCGGGCTAGACAGCCACCAGTGACAAGCAAGACAAGACACCGCCTCCTTTGACGTCGTCCCTCCCCGCAAGGGCTTAGTAGGCGGACGGCGTTTAGTTCAGGCCTCCCGTCTGTTTCTCCCCAGGGACGCGGGCCGGGCGTGGGATATGCCATTTTGCATGGACGACGGGGGAGCTAGACCAGACGGGGGCGGGGGTTGCCGTACACACTTGCGGTGACCTTTGAGACGGTGGAGAGCTAGCTAGCTACCTTGTTGTCTACGTCGAGGAAGATCGGACCCTCCACCCCCTTGCTACGTACAATACATGTCATTGAGGCGTGGGCAACGGGATAGGGTGGGATGTTGAAGATCAGGGGCTTTTGGGTTTAGGCTCTCTCTCGCGCTCTCGCTTTGCTCGAAATAGAGCACCCCATAGCTTTGTAGCTGGGACCCCTCCTCATACCCATGACGATCACATGAGAAGCTTGGGGGGATAAGAACCCCTCGAGCTGCCCCTCCTTCTTGTGTCTTGGAGGTAGCAACATCCAACGCAACTCAATTGACTCCAACAACTTCACTCTATTTCCCACACATCACCAATCACCCTCAACACATTCAAAATGTTCGGATTCGGCGAGGCCAAGGAACACCGCGATGCCGTCTACGGCGAGCACGAGGCCAAGCTCTCCCACGAGGTTGTCGCCGGCGGCGCTGCCTTTGAGGCCATAAAGCTGTTCGAGGACCGCCAGCGCAAGAACGGTATGTCCTCCCCAAGGCTCTCTCCCCTCAGCTATGACCAGTATGCTAACGCGGATGTATTCACAGGCGAGCCCGTCAAGCACCAGTTCGCCAAGGAGATGCTCGCCGGCATTGCTGGGGCCGAGGTCGACAAGCTCTTCGAGACCAAGGGCCTCGACTACCTCGACCGCGAGAAGGCCAAGAGACACGCCGAGAAGCAGGCCGAGCACCTGTACCAGGAGCAGTACGGCGACATGGACGAGTACAACCCGTGAGTTGAGCCACCAAGCATTAGAATTTTGAGATGGTGAATACTGACGAGACGATAGTGAGCGCCGTGGACGCCATCAGCACATGGAGTACTAAGAAGCATGATGTAACGGCCGGATGGATTATATAGTATGACGAAATGAAACTATTTGGAACAAACATCTTACCATTGTGATGAGTGTCCCTTCAACTTGATCTATCCGTCTCACACGTAGTTATTGTTGAAGCTATCACCGTACCCCACGACGAGCACGTGAGCATATCGACAAAAACGACTCGTCTAGCACTGCGAAGTTCTAGGGCTTGAGTGTTCAACTCTTCTGACCGGACTTGCACTCATGATGCCATCGTCAAAAGATTCAGGGATATCAAACTGTCCTCGCCATCACTAAAAATGGAAGCAATAGCCACCGGTGCCGATCTTATCATTGATTCAAAACGCGAAAGCATAGTTCGATCAGTCTGCTCAGACATGCAAATAGGTATCAATAAGCTAAAAACACAAGTGTACAGCTACACACCGATACTCAGTTATCCCACGGTTTCGCCATAGACCCAGAAGCGGTAGCTATCCCGCCATAAGAACCCTTCCCTTCAGCCGCATTGCCAGCAACAATCTCGAACAGCCTCTCACGCTCCTTCTGGAGCGCCTCCCGAGTTTCGTCAAGCCGTCTCTCCCGCTCCCTGCCGTCCCTCATCAACCTCTCGTGCCGGTCCCGCGTCTCATGGAGGAATCGGCTCAGCACCTGCGTACTCTTTTCCACCGACATCCTCGACTTCTTGATCTCGTCGTGGAAAGCCATATCCGAGAAGATGTTATCAAACAACACATCCCCCATGAGATTCCCATGGTTGATGTTCACAGGCGGCAGATCCCCGATGTAAGGCGTCATCCGCTGCGCCTGCATCACCAGCATCCTCGCCTCCTGCGTCGCCGACTCAGCACGCTGCAGCGCGCTCCGCTCCATCATATCCGACATCGTCCCGCCCCCAAACATATCCATCCGCGAATGGCTCAGCGCATCGTCTATATTCCTCAGCGCGTCCCCCATCCGCTTCATCGCGTCCATCAACAGCTTGATCGCATGCTGCTCCGCCTCCGCCTTGCTCCTCGTGTCCTGGTACGCCCGCATCGCCCGCGAGGCCTCCTGCTCCCTGGCGTCCTCTTCGGGGTACCCGCTCGTCGGGCCCGCGAAGATAGCCTCGTACAGACTGTCCAGCTCCCGCTGCGCCTCCTCGTGCGTCTGCGCGGCAACCTCCAGCGGCTGTCGCGCGCGCGTCGCCTCGTCGAGCTGCGTGCGCAGGTTCTTGTTGATCTCCTTCTCGCGGTGCTCCTCCTGCAGCACGTCAAAGTACTCGCGCTCCTCGCGCGCGGCCTTCTCGTCGAACTTGTCGCGCTTGCCGACGGCCTTGTGCACGAAGCGCCGCATCACGCTGTCGCGGTACTTTTCGTGGTCCTTGAGCTCCTTGCGCCGCCGCGTGTCGAGCTCCTTGACGTGCTTGTCGGAGGCGGCGAGCTGGTGCTCGAGGTCGGCGATGAGGCGGCGCTGCTGGGCCAGGTCCGGCACGGCGTGGTTGGTGGAGGAGAGGGTGGAGAGGAGCTCGCGGTTTTTGACGGCCGCTTGGCGGATTTTGGATTCGAGGTCGGCGGTGGACATCATGCCGGTGGCCATCCTGATGGGAACGTGTTGGTTGATGAATTTGATTGGCGGTGTCGTAGATGATGATGCCGTGATGTGGTTGAGTGTCGTAGGTGTTGAGCGGTGTAAATGAGGGTGTTGTGAGATTACGGAGGATGTATTAGATCTAGGTCAGGGGTATCGTTAAATTTGACAAGAAAATCACATGGGCAATTGAGGGTATCTTCGAGATGTTAAAAGAGGATTTTGCCTCGTCGTAATTCTTTATGGTGAGATGCTAAACACGAATGACTCTTCCATCGTGAGGGGGGATGGCGTCCTTATGAGAACCACGAGAACCCAGGAACAAGACGGTCGCCCGTCGCCCAGCAATCCTTGGTGGCGCATATCCAAATGGCGTGCCAAGATCAAATCAACGGCACGAAGGATTGGAGCAAAACATCAAGAGTGTAATAGCATGAGAACACAAGGTCGGACCATGACATCAGACACCACACGCGCCAAGGGTCCGGCTGCCTCTGCGGCGCGGCACACGGAATACTACACCCAAATGCGGGACGCCTACACCTTTTTCTCACTGTAAGGCGTGGACCGGACGCTGGACTTTCTCCCTGATTGACGGGGATCATCGGTGCTTGTAGGGCTGCGCCACGGACCGAGACGGCGGGACAAGACACTTAGGCGCCCAGGCGCTGTGGACTGTGTGACTGAGCAGCAAATCATTACGGATACAACAAGTTCGCCTTATTTCTGCCTGTTTGTCCACTTTCTCACAGGCAAACGCGGATGATCTCCGTGTAATCTGCATCACCGCGGAGGTTTATGAGTGGCTCGATACGGGCGGACTGGACTGCCAAGGCTAAAGGATTCGCCCGGGTAAGCTTGCTAAGGAAGCCTAGTTTGTTCGATATCGCGGATCATGATGAAAGGGCTTGTGGCTGGTGAGGCGATCGGGGGCAAGCAGGGATCTTCGTTCCTGACGGTGAAGCAGACACGGCATAGTGCCAGGGGTTGGGCCTGGGAGTGAGGGCATCGTGGCTTTTGCAGCTACATCGGATTTTTCTTTTTTAATCATTGAGGTGAAAGATGCCTTCGTAATTCTGTGAGTTACTGGGTTACTCAGAATATCCGATGAACAATAGCATTATGGATGGTAACATTGGCCAAGTGAGGCATTTCAATGTCTCTTTTCTTCCGCGCTAGAAATACAACCAACGCAACCATTTTTCGAGCCCGAAAATGCCCAATTTCATGCGCGCTTGAACGGTCAACACCACGGTAACCCACCGCGACCGCCTTATTTCACTCTCCTAACGACCTCAGACAATCAAAGTGGACGGCAACGCTTCAGGGCAGCCTCGTTGGCCCGCCAATAGTGCAAACGTCGCCGCCACGTGGGCGAATGACAGCTGGCGCTGGCGATGCCAGCGAGGCTCACGATATCCACCATCCCTGACGTCTCACAAGGGTCAACCTCGTTGGCTTCATCATGCCATAGGCGCCAATCATGAATGTTGGCCCTGCCCAACACACCATGATAACGAAACAATGGCAGCAAGAGACATTGGGTCATTGGACGTTAAATTGAGGCCATCGCCGGAGGGGGGAATTGTTCTGGCGTTGCCAAGAGTCATGCGAAAAAACATTCGCGCCGTCGCCGGCTTGCGATACCTTTAATTCCTGTCTACTAATGCTAAACCAACCCTGCCTGCTGCCAATCCCTCGTCTATAACAAGAACGCCAATTACCTACTAATACAGTGACCTGAAGAACCAAAACAAGACTTTTTCACCGCCCTTCTACCGCCTCGGGGTCATAGTTGCGCCCACTCACGTCCTCATCATGGCTCTCCAGCTGAATCGGCCCCTTCTTCCTCGGCTCACTGACTAGTGACAACGCAGCCCACGTCAGCCCAGCAAGCAGCGAGACATAGAACCACGGCAACCCCCTCCAGGCCCCCTTCTTCTCCAGCCCGACCGTGAACGTCCACGCCAGAGCCGGGCCGCCGAGCGGGGAGCCCAGCGTGTCGACCATGCTGATGAGTGCGTACAGCCGCGACGTGTGCTCCTGGTCGACGAACTCTGTGATCATCGCGCGCACCAGCGGCCAGCTCGCCGAGCCGAAGGTCGTGACCGACAGGCCCGCCAGGAACACCACAATCTCCCAGCTGCAGCCCTCGATGAAGCCGCCGAGCGCGATCATCAGGTACGAGCCCTTGGCGAGCAGCGCGTCCTTGCCGAAGCCCGTGCAGCGGAAGCGGCCGCGCGGGTTCGTCAGCACCTTGGACAGCCAGGGGAGGATGAAGAGGATGCCGAGGTGGAGGAAGCTGAGCGGCGACAGCAGGAAGGACGTCTGCGCGAGGGTCCAGCCGAAGTGCTTGCTGACGTACTGCGAGAGCGTGCTGGAGTGCGAGGCGTGCAGCGCGCTGGCGAGCAGGGAGGGCACCAGGCAGAGGAGGATGTTGCGGTTGCGGAGGATGCTCATGGACTGCTGCAGCTCGCGCAGGCCGTTGGCGAAGGAGTCGCGGACGGCGTGGGCGAGAGGGACCTGGGGTTTGGGGGGGCTGTCGGTCTTGACGCGGAGGGTCTCGGGGAGGAGGGCGCAGATGAGGAAGATGGGCGGGGTGAAGAGGAAGACGAGCTTGATGGGCAGCCAGGGGCCGTACTGCTCCATGAGATAGCCGGCAGTGACGGGGCCGATGAGGCCGCCGAGGACGGCGCCGACGGAGAGGTACACGAAGTTGGAGGCGCGGTCCTTCTCGGTGCTGATGTCGGCGGCGATGGCGTACACGTTGTTGAACATGACGACGATGCCGCCGCCGATGACGCCGAAGACCATGCCGACGAAGAGGAAGTAGATGTTGGCCTCTGGGAAGAAGGAGAGCATAAGAGGGGCCCAGCTGAAGGTGAGGACGGTGCCGAAGTAGGCGAGCAGGAGCACTGCTTTGCGTCCGATTCTGAAATGTGTTGGCATGCTTGTGATCTTTCACACATGGGGGTGCAACAACTCACCTATCCGAAAGAATGCCGTAGGGAAACGCGACGAGCATGTTGATGATAGCGCCAAGCAGCGACTGCCACCCAAACAGCCACGCCATATCCTTCTGCACCGGGTCCACCTTACACTTCATCTCGGGGATATTCTCCGAGTGCGGCAGCCGGTAATGCTTGTGGCAGATGTCGTCCTCGATGAGCCGCAGCATCGGGATCATGAGCAGCGTCCCGCTCGTCGTGATGGAGAACTTTAGCAGCGCCAGCATGAGGATCACAGCGCGCGGCGAGCGCACCTGGAACCGCAGCAGCGCGTCGTTGATGCGCACCCCGACGGCCCAGAGCGCGCTTCCCACGGCGCTGCTGCCGTTGCCGCCGCCGGCCCAGCCGCCGAGCCCCGGGGGCGACCTGCTCCATTTCGACCGCGTCTGGTCAAAGGCCCGGACCGGCGCGGCGTCGGCGGGCAGGCCTTCTAGGTCGGCGAACTCGGCACCCATGAGGTGTGCGGCCTCCACTTCGTCTGACAAACGTGGCATTCTCACTTTTTGAGAAGGCCGGGTTGCTGGAATAGCAAACCCTAAGCCACTGGGATTAGAATAAGAATATAGAAGAAAGGGGAAAGGGAAAGTGATGATCTTGAGCGTACAAAGGAAAAATGTCAAAGGGAGCGGATGGGAGGAAAGGGGGAACGAGTGCAAGCTGACGACGCATCTGGAGATTCAAATTCCATCGCCAAGGTCTCTCTCCAGTTTCAGCTGCGCCCGCGGCGCGCGGGTGCCAGCTTTGGCCCCGAAGCTTGCCGGAGCAGGCCTCGCAGGGCGATCTGGGTCATCTCCAGGATGTTGGTCGGCGACCCCTGAGTTGCGATATGGCGATACTTCCATCGTGGTGTAGAATGACCCGATATGAGAGTATCTCACTAACACAAGCTTCCACAAGCCAATCTGCAAGCTCCGCTGATCCCCCAAATTCGCGCGTATTCGCCTAAGCAATGACAGCTTATTTTAGCACTGGTCAGCTCCCTAGCAGGGGCCTACCGTGCTGCCGGGCTCGCTGAACGCGCCGGACCGACACTTTTAAGCAGCCGGTCCGCAGCGGAGGTTAAAGCTTGCTGCTCCGTTCTCTCCGATGCACTCCAACAGCCCGCATGGTGCTCTTTGAAGCTTCCGTGGAAGTGATGCGGTATTTAATAGACATGAAGCTTTTCGATTTCCATCTGTCCAAAACCCAGTGTCATGAAAGAGCGCATGGAAGCGGAAAGGATGCTATTGAGATGAGATGTCTGGGCAGTGTTCACCACACCCGGACATTTACACCATTTGCTTTCATAATGGTAGCTTTGCCTGGCTAACGGCGATACATTGCGCTGCACTTGTAGCGGGATAATGAGCGCGCGAGAAGAGATAAGAAACCGACTATTGATTAAGCGTGCGGCGATAAACATGAGATTCTAAGATTTAAGGTCACAGTAGGTAGTGATTTCGGTAAGTCCATGTAGGGAACGCGTTGAGATTGTCCAGGTGCCAGCCGAAAGCCTGCCAAATTAGAGAGAGAAAAAAGAGGGAAAAAGCCCCTTATGAATATTCTCACCGATTCTCAAACATAGGGAAACACATCGCTACTATCACCAAGTGATGTAAAACATTCTGATATTGCTTTTCATATTACAATTTTAGACTAATCTCTTTTATCATTACCCTAGCTGGACAGATAAGCTCAGCCGCCTTTGACCGTTTGACGTGAATTAAGATCCAGTCGACCCATGAAACTGGATGGGTGTTTCATTCGTTAAAAATCTCCTGGATTGACCGTGAGGAGGCTCCTCTCCAAGGCATTCTTTCCAGACATCCCGAGATTGATGCCCAGTCATCATGCGTCTCAGTTCCATAGTCGTACCAAGCACGGATGACCATCGTGTACTTATCCGGGCACAAGATTGAGTACTCTGTTCTGTGGGAACAGCCCGCACACTTTCCTTTGAACTCCGTCCCAACGTTACATACCGCGTCCCAGAAGCCCCTATCAAAGGTTGTGCTTGTGCTTGAACTTGTGTTCTGTGGACGATGTTTCTCCAAGAGATCCCACGCTTTCAAGGAACTGAAACCGAAAGCTATGCCCATGTGATAGCAAGCTAGCGTCGCGTATTTAATTTGCCAATGTACGTCTTCAAAGTGGCGCCTGCCGCCACTTTTGAATATCCATTCTTTCCTCAGAAAATACCCGGCAGAAATGATCTTTGGTATGGCTGCGTAGTACTGAAGGTGATCATGTTCGTCGGGCTGACGGTTCCAGATGAATGGAGTCATGAGCTTCTCGAGATACCCCTGGTGAATGTTCCCGAGCCGAGATAATTTCAAAGCTGTTTGGACGTGTTGAGAACGTACTCTATACTGATTAAGCCTTACGTCTGGCCACAAATCGAGCGGCCTTACGACACAAGAAGGCCCAGTCTGATTCTGTGGCACGTCGTCCTGGCTGATACGATGCATTATCCAGCAATCTTGGCACACTGAATGGTTCGGCGAGTCGAAAGCAAGCTTGGCCCAGAACACGAGCTTGTCTTCGAAAAACAGTTGGCGAAGGAAAGGTTCCCAGTCCCGGTGTGCGAGGGCTCGAAAACGGGCGCAGGTCCTTGAGAAAATCACCACAGTGACATCATCAAGGTAGCCGATGATGTCCAGAAGTAGCTCTGAGGGTAGTCGAAGGAGATGCGCTCGTGCGGCTGTCTTGTGTGAATGCGTGTTGCCGAGATCGAATCCGTGGGGGGCTATGGTGTCGTCGATATCTGCCATGATGGGCGTGGACTTGAGTTGTTCTTTGGTAAATCATCAACCTGCTTTCGAAAAGAAACTGGAATCTAGTATGCATACAACGCAATTTCTGAGATCAATCTCCTATTTCCGAATAGAGTTTATTGTATATTTGCGGGCCTACAGTGCAAAAGTTGGAAGCATTTGTGTAAAACAGCACCAACCTTGAGAACCAATAGACTATCCACCTATGCGTCTTTGGTCGGGTGATGTGGCGCAAAATTTGATGCGTACGCTTCAGGTTGGATAGACACACAGGTAATCGTTCTGGTTGTGAACATCACAGCCGAGCAGAACCTAGCATGGTTGGCATTGGGATCCAAGTTGAAGAATTCGAGGTTCATGTTAAGATTTGACAGAATCAGTGACCTGGGCAGGCAAGTACCCTCTTTTTCACCAGCACCACAATATCTGTGATATTCTAATGGCAAAACCAGAAGCATAACCTAGGTTTCGTTACTGTCTTTTACTGTTCGATAAAGTGCAACAACAGTCCTCAAAGAGTCAAAGTCTCTTACGAACACTCGAACTATGGGGTGAAGGGGTCAAGTGAGCTTCTTCTGAAACAAATCATTATTATTGACACTGCTAGTATCAAACTTCACATAAGGTAGTGTGCAGTCAGAAGACAACTATCTTATTTATTGTAAAGTCTCCTAATCGAGGGGAAAGCCGGCCTTTCAAAATATTCCCGATATAGAAACCACTTATCACCCTCGAATCCATAATCGTACCAAGATCTGATGATTACCGTGTACCAATTTGGACACCATATCGCGTACTCCACCTTGCATTTATAGCATCTGTTACTGAACTTCTGAAGCCATGCCCGATACGACTGATAGCAGACCGGAAGTCGGCCTCAAAGTCGGGGTCCCGTAATTTGTTTGGTCTATGCCAGTCGATATAATGTCTCTCATTCAAACTGTGCGCAATGCCCAAGTGTGGGCAGACGAGCGGAACTCCCTCCAGTTGCTTATTGATGGCAAATATTTCCTTGTTCCAGGAATACTCGCAACCGCGGCTATCGAAGATGCTCTGGAATGTCCATTGCTTCTGCAAAAGGAAACTTCCATTGACGATCTTTGGCACGGCGCGGTAGTGCCTGAGACAGTTGCCCTTGAGGGCGCGGTGATATATGCTGTACGGCGCCATGTTCTTCTTGAGGTATCCTTGGTTGATATTCCCAAGTCGAGAAAGCTTCAAGGCCATTTGCACATGCTCCGAGCGCATCTGATACGGATCAAGTGAACTACGGCTAGCCCCACGACCGTTTCTTTGGCAAGATGGTGTCCATTTTTTATATGGCAAATACCTTTGGTTGATGGGTTCTATTCTGTGACATGAGTGGCAGAACCAGTGGTTTGGCATATCGTGGACGATTCTTAACGAGAAATACTCCTTCTGGTACTCCCACCATCCTCGAAATATGGGTACCCAATCCGTATCGAGAACGATGCGGAAAGAGGCGCAAGTTCTTGACAGAATCGCTTTGTCGAAGACTCCGAGGGGTTCGATTATTTGCAGCATAAGCTCCACAGGTAGTTGTAAAATAGCCGAGTTAATGTTGCTTGTTCTGCTTGTTACTTTGTGGTGAGCCTGACGCAGGCCTATGTTGGTCTCGGCGTCCGCCATTGTTGATTGGGACAAAGATTGTTCGAAACGAGATTTGATCAACTTGTAGGGTAGTGAGGAAAAGAAGAAGAACTGAAGTCCTGGAGCAGCGTTCGGGTTCCTTTTCTTTGTTCGAATAGGATGAAAGAGATAACCTCTGTGGATCATGGGTCTGTCTCCGATTCCATCATTCTGATTTTTTCCTCATAAGAAGCTTTAGAAATCTGACGGACTTTTGCGTTCTTTGGGTCTGTGAGCGTATTCTGTCAACTTTTACCTGTATGAATCTGCCGGAGACATACACGAGGACCAGGATGGATTGCAGAAACCTGTATAGCTATGCTGTGGAGGATATAAAGGGTTTCCAGCCGCCTTTTGAAGTTTTATCATATCGAGACAACTGATCCTTCCGTTAACTCAACACCAAGATGTGCATGTCATCCTCACTGAGCTACATCACAAACTTTTCCAACCGCCTCAGGGGCGGTTCCAGCCCCAACGTCACCGCCCAGAAGCACGATGCGGAAGTCAGCATGTCTCTTAGCGGAAGACGTAGCCCTCATACGGCAGGTTTGGCTCATTCCGGAACGCTAAATTCAAAGGACTCTAGGCAGTTATCAGCAAGCAGGGTAACAGGGGACGATCTACCGCCCGAACTAGCCACACAAATTCTTGAGTGTGTGGTAGCCCAGAAGGATGGCTACCCGTTGGCTCATCTTGCGGCAGTCTGCAAACTATGGAATCGGATACTAGAGCCTCATCTGTTTGCAGAGGTGACCTTCCGTCTGACGAATGCTAGCATTTTATCAGGTGATGTCACCCCTGACACCCTGGCCAGCACCATTCGAGGCTCGCGACTGCTATGTTTGAAAAAGCTGCGCCTTGTGATAGACGTGATAGACGTGGATGTATCGAACTTCACTACTATTGCCGATTACCCACGGCGTCGAATAAGACTGGGGGCTGACTTCGCCGATGTGATGGACGGTTTCTTCGACACAATGGCCGGTTGGGGGCGCGACGCATCGTTCGACTTGGATATCCACGAGGAGCAATCATGCGGCCATCATCTC